ATAAATGACTGGTCTTCCGTTTGGTAAAGTAGTTTAAAAAAGCCTTCATCCTATGCTGATAATCAATCAATATCTCGTTCTCATAAATAAACTATGTATTGATTATACTGGCATTTGTAAGTGGATTAACGTGTCTATAGATGGTGAAACATGCAATTTTGCATGATACATATTAACAAAAAAAACAGACTCGAGTAGAATGAAAGACGTCATTCAACGATGTTTGTAATAAGTCATAGCAACTTAAATTAACAATGTTCAAACAGTTGGAACAGAAATAAGTTCGTAGCACACTATTTTCAAGCTATTAATATTTATCATATTTTAAACAATTTACTATATAGCAAGCACTATCTAATATTTACGATGTGATTGAGTTATTAGTATCGTTGTCTGATTGAATATTTATTTGATCTAAAATCTTTGTGGATCTAGCATTTCCGTCTACCTACAATTAACCAAATTTCTAGAACAATGTTCTACGTCAGTGCTTCAGTATAAATAGTGAACATTATTAAGGTTGATATTAAGACTAAACATTGTACACGTACACACATCTTCTGATCTCATCACTTAAACTGTTAGTTGTTTATTGCACGATTGTATCTGATAGGATCCTGCCGTTATAATTTATCGCTATTATACCGGTGGTCGGTCAAACTTTAGCGGAAACGGGCTCTGCTTAGAATCACAGAATATATAGATAGCGGGATATACAATAAAGGAATAAAACAGAAATAAACTTTTTATTCTATTGCCTTCCTCTGTCAACTGTTTTTTCTTGTATTCATTTTATATATTAATTAATGATAGATAATATCAAAAGCATAAATCCGGAACGATTCGATGTTGATCAAAATGCTCTCATCTTTAATCAGATATTCTTTTATATTATATTATTCATTGCATATACAATGATCAGTGAAGGAGAATGAAAAAATAGAAAAAAAAACAAGTAGAAAGTAGGATGATTGAACTTTTAGGTTACGCTAATATATTTCTCTCACGTAAATATTTATATTCAATATATGCATAGATATGATGAACCTATGTTTGTACTCTCTGGCAGGCGTGCAAACACAAGTCAAAAATTTAAAAAAACTGAGCACAAATCAGTCAACAAGCGGTACCTAAGCATTTCCAGACCATCCAGGATAATACCAATTCACGTCTTTCTTATTCAAACGCCTTTTCTTCGACTTCAATATCAGTTCTACGTGTCTCCCCGTAGACATATTAGAGACATACGGAAAACGTCCGTTATGTTGAAAGCGCAATCGAGTCACATGGAAGACACTTTTTCTTGGTAAATACATGATTAAAGTTGTATTTTTTTAGAGTACACTCAGTGTATAATATTCTCTCGAATTTATATTGTTAAAATCCAGGAACTACACGATATTAGGAATGAGAGAAAGCGTTAAGCAAAAATAAATTGATTAAAGGTCAAGATAAGTTATATTGAGAATCTTCTACAGTACTCTTCAAAGTATCCTTCTCCATGTGACTCAAGGATCATGCTAACTAAGAACTTCTAATTTTGCATGGTCATCGCTCTCACTGAATGCTGATCGTTTCACCAGTATGAGCCTCTTTGCACGACGTTTCGTCATTTATTTTCTGTAAAATGCTAACTCCTGATCCAAGAAACATGAACGTTTTTCTTTTTATCAGAATGTAGCCCTGACTCTTCTCTATCTACGGTATGAGTTTAGTTTGTTGGTTCTTAGTAGCCACTAAAATGCAGTTATTTTACGATCGAGAACCACTTTTGAAATATGAGGCACTTTACGAAAAAACTCATAACTTAGCTTAGTAATATAATTTTCACTTCAAAACTGTATCAGATGCTCTGCGTTTGTCTCTGGACTATTCACACAAAGTATGAAGGTTAACTATTAGTCGGTTCAGAAACTGATTGAGAACGAACACCCATATTGAAACATACGTAGAAGAGCGAGGATGAGGAAATAAAGGTCGTCCTTTCTACCATGGACGCTGTATTCAATGTGGATCATAATCATGCAAAATATAATTGTAGAAACCTATGGCGAAAGAAGTAAATGAAAAACAGTATAAGAAACATTGTCAAGATCATTTCATCCGCACCCATTTCACTTATTTTGCGCTCTTTTCAATATATTTTCAAGCAAAACTAATAACATATCCGAAATCAGCAGATAAAACTGCGTCGAATGGCATATCTGACGCTCACTTGCGAACAAAATCTTTCATAAAAAATGCCTTACTGAGCATGAAGGTAAAATGTTCTTGACAATGTTTCATATACTGTTTTTCATTTACTTTTTTCGCCATGGATTTCAACAATTGTATTTTGCATGATGATGATCCACATTCAATACAGAGTCGATGATAGAAAGGACGACCGGATTTTTATAGATAGATGGTCCAAAGTGTCTTCTTCAAAACAGAAACTAAGCGAACTCTTAGTTTTTCGTGGTTTAGGCGTAGCATTGCCTGAGAGTCCCAGAATCACTATTTCTTTAGATGTGGTAATTAATAAAATAGAGTACATCTTGATATTCTGACATAATTCGGATGAATCTTGATTGGGTTATGAAGTTTTTAATTTTAATCAAAAATAGGCAAAAACGGGTTATTTCACCTAATGTAGGTTTTCACTAGGTTTTTGAAACTTTATCGAAAAATAAATGTTGCCATGAGATTCAGCGTGGTCGATTGACTATCTATCTGTAAAAAAAAAACTATTTCTATGTGAGAATCCAAAGTGGCTTCCAAAGATCTGGTCAAAACCGGTTTCAGAATTTTTTTAAAAAACTGTTTTTCCTTGTGGAAAACTAGTCACAGGTGTCTGCTTTCGATTGCTGGAAACCGCAACGTTCTATCTTACGCTGTTATTGAATTATTAAAAAAATGACAACCTGTACTGCATTTTGGCGCCGATAGTAGTACTCATCTAAACATCATATCATCGGCCATGGACTGCAATAACCCCCCCTCACATTAGAAGCCCAGTCTGGCAAGAAATTTTTTGAAAATTGCCCCTGCCCCCATAGAGTACTTTTTGAGAAAATTGTGCCTTTCTTGCGGGACATAATAGAAGCCCACTGGGCTTCTAATGTGGACGAGGGTTTAGTATGTTGAAAAATGTAGGAATGTGTCTCGTGTACTCTTGTATGACTGCAGGAATTTGTTCTTATGTTTCTCTTACTAAATTTTCTCGTTGTTTTTGTGTTTTTGGGATGTGATTGCACGTAATGATTCACTCAGCGCATCACATCATCCAAGAACACAAGAAACAAGCATGGCAATAAAGTCCTGTTATAGTCCATACACGGGTATATTAGACACATTCGTACTATTGTTTAAGAAATTATTGCAGCCCATGGCTGTGACATTGATGCTTGACTGCGTACTAGTACCAAATACATGTGTATGAAATGAGATCTAACTGCCTTTGTAGAGAGAAAAAAATTGAATAAATTAGTTGTCGTTTATTTTGGCCACGGGGGTATTCAGTATATTTGGGGATTTATTTGTGTGTTTGTTTATATGTATACTTCAAAAATGGAGACGATAAATCAGCGTGTGCAGTGTTCGAAAAATTAGTCTTTAGTCATCCGAATAAAGCATAGAATGAAAAAGAGCCACAAATGCATATATTTATATACAAATTTTCCTTTATCTCCTCGTGTAAGGTACATATAAATGCTTCAATTTTGACGAAGCAAATGACGATGGTTTGTCAATAATCAGTTCACAGTGGACATTTTCAATAGACTGGTGGATATCAACTATTCTAGCATCAGAAATGGTTATTTTTGACTAGGATAGCTCTCTATATCTCCAAATAGTATTCAGAAAAGATTCAAGAAACTTTTAGTTTTTTGATCAAGAATGAGTAAAGAGAACCTAAGGCGAAAATTTTGGAAACTTTTATTACACTGAAGCGTTATGTGCATGACAAACACTTTTCTAACAACATTGACTCTACACTTGAACATTTTTTTACCATTGTAGCTGCATAGGTCATTATTTATTCCTAAAATTTAAATTTTCTGTCAAGTTAAGAAAAAGATTAAACTAACTCTTGCTCGAAGCATAATTTTTCCATTAAGTTTTTTCATCATTCGGATAGAGATAAATAAATTTTTTAATGCGAAAAGATAGTCCGAGATAAACGTCTTCTTGTTGGTAATGTTCCCATGCGCCGACACTTTTCATTTTCCCGATTCGTCGACATGCATATATTTCTAATCAACAAAAATAAATTTGTACTGCACTTTTTTACATTCATTCCACTCTTCATTGGGTTGATGACTGTATTCTGTTGAAACAACTGATACTTTTGAACCTTTTTGTACTGCACGACCATTGCAAACTGGATGACTTTCACAATGCCAATGGGTGTTATTACCACAAATTCTATCCTGCAATTAACGATATCCTAAAAATAACAGACATGGCTCATCTCTCTGTGTTTCGACAAGTGAATACTTTTGTATTATGAATAATAAGTAATTTGTAGGATAATAATTTTTTTGTATAATCAAACTGAGACATAAACAAATATTTAAAGATCTCAGTCGGTTTAAAAAATACATCATTTTAGAAAGTTAATCAATTAATCTACATAGTTGTTCCATATTTTTCATTACATAATTAGGAATAGTTGCTCCATACTTTAGCATCTTATTTGCTTCGCTAAATAGGACTTTATGTTTCATGTCATATACCTGAAAATGTCGATGAATTAGGAAAATAAAAGTGTCGAAGAGTCGGGAATTTTAATAATTTTGACTTAATTAGTGGATGAATTGAGACTAAGTCTAGTTTCATGCTAAAATGCACCGTTTATGCTGATAACATCTATTTCTAGATGTAGTAAATAAGAGCAATTAGTGATTAGTAATTATTAGAGAGTTTATTGAGGAGATATTCATAGCTTAAAACACTAAGAACCAGTATAATAATTTTTTCCTATTTTAGATCTGCTCGTTGAATTAACACGAACAACAATGACAAGACATTCTTCGACAAAACAAGATGAATTAAATGGATTAAGTAATATACAACTTTCCGATATATCTTCTTTGAATGATGATGAAAAACAACATATTTTAAAAGTACTATGTCGAGATGAAGAATTGCGTTCGCAGCACTTAACACGATTTATGTGAGTATGATAGGCTTACTTAATTTAGAGTAATTAAAATATTGCTATTTTTTAGGCAACTTCGTAAGGAAATTGATGAATTAGAATCAATTGAACAAACGGATAGTACAAAACAGTGTGCTCGATGTCAAACACCGTTTGGTTTCATCTTTAACAAAGGTGATTGTTGTCCAAAATGTGGTGCTAAAGTTTGTAACCAATGTCGATTAATTTATAATGGAAATCAGTCAGGATGGTTATGCCAGTTATGTTGCAAACAAATGTAAGTTCTATTTGCGATCACTTTAATGCTAAATAAGATTAATTCAACTCGGGTAGACATTTTCATGCTGTTTCGATTGTAAACGACTGAAAAGAGTCCTGATTATACCGGACACATTCATCGTACTCATTTGACTATATAAATACGCTTGCACATTCATCGTAGCTGGTAAAGTTTCAATACCAATAAAGAGGAAAGCGAAAATTATTTGTTTATCAAATTTAGATGCCGGCGCTCCTAAATTTGTATGTCTACGTAACAATAATAACAACAACAGAGAAATAGTGCATTTATCTCACATTTAAAGGTAGCCCCCCCCCTCTTTTTTGCAGAAAAGTTGTCATTTTGAGCTAAACATAGTCTAATGTAGTCTGAATTATAAAATAAGACCACTTCCAGCTCTCCATGACCTTCCTTGAAAAAATTATGACTTTTTTAAGTTTTTCCTTCAAAGCCTAGAAAGTCTCAGTTTTTTAAAATCGTAAATTTTTCCCTCCTTTTCTATATATTCAAAATTTTTTCTTTATAACATGGTAGAAGAAAGTGTGCTCTTCAAAATGGGATGCTTTCCAGAATATTTTGATGAGTTTTCTTGAAAGTATACGCATAGCCGCAAATGCTCTGAAAAAGAAAACCCTGTGTACAATATGTGTTTTTCTCACTATGCGTTTTGTCAATAGTCCCTTCAATTGGCAGATATTACGATCCCTCGAAAAAATGGTTCAGTCGAGCTCAAAATTTTACCACAGATACTTCAGATCCTATCTCAGGATGTAAATTTTATTTAAGCGTTTTCGACTTCAACTTTCGGCGTGAGAAGGTTTTCAAAATAAAAAACCGTTTTTTGTATGGGATTTCCAGTATTTTTGTGATATCTCGAGAAGGAAAGAATATTTTTCGAAATGAAAAAAAAAGCAAACCTGAGATAGGATCTGAAGTAGATTAGAGTCTGTGGTAAAAAAACAACAACCGCAATCCTTAAACATGTTGTTGTAGTACGTATTGATGACATGATGATTTTATTTATATTTTACAGCTATTAACCTACTGTTATTTTTCTTTAATTACTGTGTGGTTGTTGCTATTAGAAGTTCATTCTATGAGGAAGATACCTGACTAGAAATCATTGAGAAGTGTGACATTTGAAATGGATCACATTCGAAATAGTCTCAATATTTTTTGTAAGTTATACTGATACTATATCTGTTTTACCGATGTGATGGAATTCAGTTGTAACGAAGCAACTTACTCTTTTCATTGTACTAAGAAAATATGTAAACACTTAATAACGATGCAGGCGGCGCTTTTTACTTTTTGGTTAATTTAAGTACTACTGACGGTGAAACTTCTCACTTCGCGGGCTGCATAACGCGAAATAATAAAAAGAAGCGTTGATAAGAAAATCATCGCTTGCAGTCGAACCGTTACATAAACCGTGTTTTATTTCTACTATACTTCTGTTTTTTGTAGACAATTATTTAGTTTTTCTGGCGAATGGATAAACCTGTTAGGAAGCAATGTACGAAAAAACTCTGTGGCAGCTTCCGAAGAATTAAGAAAATCTTTGACACCATCCTCTACGCAGAGTACGTAAAACATGTGCTGTTTATATCAACTTTGACTATTTACAGTGTGTTTTTTCTTACATGTTTAGAGTTTCATAGTGAACCAAGTTTTGAAGAAGAACCCGAAGGTTCACAACCAGATGTATATAAAAAAGTTGTAGACGATAATCCAGATCAAGGTCGACAAAAGTCGATTAGTAGCGTGGAAAATACCGCAGATCCAAATGTTGTCCCTCTATCATATCCAGAAAGTATGTAATATTTGTCTGTACACGTAATAATTACTCATAATTTATTACTCTCATTTTGCCCGTCCTTTTCTATACTCACACTTCTACACTCTTTTTTTTCTCTTAATCTTTATGATAAATCTGTCGTCGACGCATGTGTCTAGCGAATAAAACAAGTGATTTAGCGCTGATAGAAGAACCATAATATACACTTTTTTTCCTCTGTATAATTAATTTTTTTATAATAGAAAGAAAAAATGATAAATCAGAAGTGATTATTGACTAACGCACATCAGTATAAAAAAAAAGAAGAAGACGCTCCTATCAAAACACACATCGTATACTTCAGTTAGTAGTATTAACACATAAAAACCGTATAAGCTAAAAAATAACACCTCTTGGTTCACTTGAGTAATTAAAACTAATCTCATGCGTCTAGTAGAAATGATAGAATTTGAAAAAAGCTTCACATAGTTCTACTGTTTCAGTACATCAAGAAAATTTATGTATTAGTGGATGAAAATCTTCACCAAAAATGTCACCTGAGACTTGTTTTTGGTCACGTAAAATAAGATGTAGATTAATTTTTTGTGACGCTTTGATTTTGTGTTATATTTGGCTTCTGAGCTGTTTTGAAAATGATCGAAAAGAAATGTTTTACTCCTCATTCAGTTAGTATTATTTTTATAATAGATACAATGCTCTCGATTTTCTCAACTATTAAGCGGATCAGTGTCTATTGCTACGGTTGATTAAATTCTAATGAGTTAGTTTTCTTATTACCTGATAGCATATTAGTTATAACTGACTTAGTACGACATAAGACATACTTGTAATTTGAAAATCAATAATTTGATAACCTCTGTTTAGTAAGTTAGTCAAATGTTTTCCCTTAAAATGGGCAAAAAATAGAGTACTTTGAGAATAAATGTATTCTAAGGTAGGATGAATAGTAGAGATCTAATAGAACGAAAACATTTAGAAGGTCTCACATTGAAATAATATATACTATTTTTATTATTATGTTTACTTTGTCCCTAAATCAATTAGTATATCTTTATGACTTAAATATTGAAATCAAATAGATTAATAAATGAATCAAGTACAAAAAGTATACTGTCTACACTGGATACGAGTTCAGACAATGTGAATTATAAAAAACGGGAATTTATTGTTCACATATTTCAACATTGGAAACTAAAAACAAAAGAAACGAAACATTTTATACAAATATCTTTCACTTCTTAACAAATAAATTTATCTATCAATACGTTTTCTTCCTTCAAAACACCTTCTGTACATAATCCCCAACAACTACCAATGGTATTACCTTTATCCAAAGTTGTCGTAGCAGTATTTGAACAAAATAACACTAATGTACCAAGTTTATCTCCATTATACAAGTCAGAGTCAACTCAAAGTTTGCGCAATGAGGGTAAAATTAATGACAATGGTAGTACTAATAGTATGGTTAATATTGACATTAAAGAACGACAAAAAACACGAGCAGAAGAAAATAGAAGTCTACCAAAATTACTAAAAAACTCATTTTCTCGTAGTCATCATTCATTGAAAAAGTCTTCATCGATACCAACGCTAAAACCAGAAAATGATGTTGATGCACAATATAAACGATCTCAAGAATTACACCATCGTTTACCAGAATTATCAGAGAAAAATCTAAAATTACACGGTAAACAACCATCGACACAAACTTCCAATTTAGTTCCAACGAAGATAGTAACCACTGATGATCAAAGTATAAAATCAAGTTTATCCCTCAATCATTTATCATCTCATCAGCGAACATTATCATCCCCAATCTCATCAGAGACCAATTTTCGAACGCCTGTCATTTTTATTGCTCCAAAACCCAAACCAAAAGTAATTTTATCGTCAGACGAACTACAATTTGAGAAAAAAGCCGTTACATTACAACGTCACAATGCATTTAAGGAACATAGCCGCCGTCCTCATCTACGACTACAACCTCGATATTGTTTACAATCATCAACTAGTTCATTAGAACATATAGAAACAGACTCAAGTTCAGAAGACGAAAAATTATCGAATATAAAAACGTCCAATAAGAAACAAGCCATTATGATTTTTCCAAAAACAGAAACATACATTAGTATTCCCACCAACATTATTATTACAGACGTGCATGGTCGATCAAGAACATTTAGTGAACAACTAGAGAAAGAGGAAGAAGATGAAATAATAGAAGAAGATAATAGTTCATTTATACCAATCATTTCGCAAAAAACCGATGATACTTTAGGCAATGTTCATGATCTATCTTCATTAGGACCGGACGATACGTTTGATAGTCACGTTGAGGAACCTGTGTTTGTTAGATCATTATCAAAACAATCGGATATGGAAAAACATTCACTTGGAGAAATACTTGAGGAAGAAGAAGAACATGAAATCAATTTTAAAAATAATAAAGATAGTCGACTCGATCGTATTCTAAACAAAGAACTTCATCGTATTGAAGCGTTTTCGAGATCACGTTCAAATATTTCATCTGAAGATGAAGACGAAAAAAGTAATAGTAAAAATGATAAAACAACAACAGTAATGAACAATGATGGCAGTGATGTTGTAAAAAACGAATTAGTTGAAGATAGACAATCATTCAGTCGTCGTAATAGTGTAGACAAAGAAAAGATATCGAAAAAAGTTCAAGCTAAAGAATCGACTTCATCGTCGTCACGTTCAATAAGACGACATTGGAGTGATAGTTTTATTGCTAAAATACAAACTTTTAAATTACACACGGAATCTCTCGCCCAAAAACGAAAGAATAAGCTACGTAATGATGATGCTATAGAGACTAATGATAATAATACTAACGACGCTGTTGCTAGCAGTCAAGGGCGTAGTGGTCCACGTGTTAATGACAATAAAAAATAACAGTGAATCTCCTTTTTTGCAGATACAATTGTATTTTTGTATTCACTTTTTTCTTTTTTGTAATACATATATATACGCTATAACTGTCTGTGTGACAGACACTTTTCTCTCTTCTCCAACAAGAAGTTACATTTAAAGCCTAGTGTTTTAAACGAATAAGACTAATAGAAAATATGTTGAAAGTATTTGTGTATATAAAAGTATAACATAGATTTTATTAGAATTGAGTTAAGGTATGAGACGAAAGAAAGAGCTTGTTTTACATCGCTATCTGTTTGACATTTATAAGAAAGGGACTAATTTTGGTATTACCATCTAAATTTTTGGTTTGAATCCTTAACAGAGTAGAATGGGTGTGGGTATTTTTGAAATAACGTTTAAATGAAATGAGATGGTGACAGAGATTTTCGCTGTTATGTAGCCAAGACTTGATGCAGCAAAAGTCACGTCCTAAATATCATCACCCAAGCAAAACTAAGTAAGCGAGAAAATGTAGCTGCAGAAGTAGCTGCAGCCCCACTTACAGTTAGATTAACTAGATTAAAAGGTACATTTATCTAGCTGCATGCTGATTGAAATTGTGTACTAGCTGAAACGGCCACTGCATGGGCCAATTAAGCGAACAATGAATTGCCCGATTAATCGATAGCAACTAGTTGTACCCAATTGAAACTAGCTTCAATCTAGCTGAACCTAGATAAAATTTTCATGTATTTCTGTGCAGCTAGCTGAAGCTAGATAAATGTACCTTTTAATCTATATGCAGCGCCCGCTTCATGATTTTTTTCGGGCTTGGGCAGCACGTGATCTGCCTTATCAGATCTGAAAGAGTGGATCAGAAGAGCCTCCAAAACAGATGGATTTTTACTGCCAAGAAGTTGGTTTGAATCATCGATAGAGGTCTGCAACCCGATCTCCATCCGGGTTTGGGTGGGTATGCCTACGAAATCTGTTGGGTTTGAAATTTTCTTCAATGACGCTTTTCTCTTTTTCTATGAAATGTTCAACATTAGAGTTGATCATTTTTAGAAAACAAACAGGCAACAACAATTCTACAAGCATTTTATATTTTTCATAAAAAGTTCAAACTTGCAATTAATTATCGGATGTTGGATCGAGTCGGGTTCGGGTTTGACAGATCCAACCAGCGCAGTACTCTAATCATCGTACTGTCCTCTATCGATCCATACAAGTCCGAGGTCTCTACCGTTTACCGTTCCTGTATAGAACAGGTTTCCTGCCAGTTCTAGGACACCTATTCTTTTATGTTCGGAAACCTTCAAAAATAAATGGACACATAGGTTTTCGATTATGCTAAAACTTGTGACAATGTTTCTTGTCGTTATAAATATTTTTTGTTCATGTTGATTGTAGAAACTCAGCATAAGAGCGATTTTTACTCATCAGCGTGGCATTACACTTTTTATCATTATTATTTCGCATGCACAAACTGGAAGAAATGGGTAAACGGGCTGACAAGGCAAGAACGGTATGAGGAATGTCAGAAGAGAGAAAAAAATACTAACAGGAGGAAACTATATACCGCCTGGCTTAGTAATAACTTTGTTACGTTAAATGTTAAGAAAATAAAAAAATGATCTGCTGAACTAGAGTACTTTGGAGTAAATAGAGACACTGTTTGAAATTTTCGTCGTTTTTTTTACTGTTTCTTGTCCGTTTTGGATTGGGAAAACTTGCTATTAAACACGGTGGTAGACCGAACATTTTTCTACACGTTTATGTAAAAATCTTTTGAAAAGCTCCAACCATTTTTGAGCTAGATCCAGAATGCATAAATAGGGACACTCCGTTCAAATACATCGAGTTTTAATGTACAATTTCTGGTTAATTAAGCCTAAGAGATTAGTTCAAAAATCCCTCATTTTATAGCCCGGATCTTCCTCTTTCCACCATTTAGTTTTGAGCTTATTATCATTTAAACTCATTAAGCTGATTTAGACACAATAGGCTGTACTCGAAGCTGTCTTTTTTTGATTTTTATGCATTGGAATAAACGGAGACGCTCGTGTAATTTCTTTACGTTAAATGGAGGAACTCCATTGAAATAGACGGGAGTTTTCAAAGACAAACCTCTATCGTCTCCCAGGAGTCGATTTTGGTATTATACCTAATGACAAAGTTGTTTAGAACACTAAACTCGATCACATATATGTGAAAATCGCCTAGAACTGATTAGAAGTAATCAAGATTCTACATCCAAGACGTTTTCTTCGTGTTGTAAATGACAAAAGCTCGCAATCTAATTCTTCAAGCTCCTAGAGTCATGGAATATTGAAGAAAACATTGAGCTTTTCAGATTCTTTGAAATTTTTTCTATTTTTTTCAGGCATACAATTTTGAAGAAAAAAGAATGAGATTTGACCAACATATCTATCAAATACGTTGGAAGACTACATGATTTATTGAAAAACCACGTCAATTTAAGGCACACAAGTTCTTTTTTAACGATAATCTTATAGAACAGATTTTTCCTCTTCAAGATAAAAGCTCAGATTTTATTCGAGTTGTATGCGCCAAGGAGATACTGGGACCATGTCGTCCAGGCAAAGTATTTTCAGATGGGGAACTGTTTTCGTGATAACTTGCAATTCAAACGCTATTGAACGTGGTGTGAGCTTTTATCTTGAGCGATATGTTGGCTTTCAAAGATCAAATTTCATCCTTTTTTCTCCAAAAAGATAGAAAAAATTTCCAAGAATCTAATAAGCTCAATGTTTTCTTTAATATGCGAAACAATTATAATAAAAAATGTAATGCCACGTTGATGAGTAAAAATCGCTCCTATTGCTGAGTTTCTACAATCAACATGAACAAAAAATATTTGTAACAACAAGAAAGCATTGCCACGAGTTTTAGCATGGTCGAAAACCTATGTGTCCATTTATTTTTGAAGATTCTCGAGCATAAAAGAATAGATATACTAGAGTTTAGGATCAGACTTTTTCATAGATTCATTGCATCAGGTCTTGGCTGCATAACAGGGAAAATCCCTGTCACCATCTCATTTCTTTCAAACGTTATTTCAAAAATACTCACACCCATTCTACTTTGTTGTGGATAGTAGTAAGTTGTCTAACATATAGAAGTTAAAACCAAAACTAATCGATGGAAACAACAATTAAATGCTGATATCCAGGATAATTCAGTATTTTTTCTACTTTAGATTTACAATGGTTTGAAAATCGTTCTAATGATTATATTGAACTTGCATCAGAAGAAAATAAACCAACAATAAATCAATTATCTGAGTATAATTCGGATGGTTCCCTAGTGTCAACGTCAGTTAATCAACATCCACCAACAACATTAATCATTAATGACGGAAATACAAATTATAATGATAATGATGACAGAATACAAACATCGAATACTAAAATAGCTGAAAGTCTTGAACAACATAATGAATCTACCAAAGTTCGATCTTCTTCGGTTGCTAGTGTTTCGGAAGTACAGAATCTTTATTTGTATTTTCTAGTTATGGGTACGATTTTTTCTTTCTTAATTTTAGGAATATGACTCTGATGAGGATTATAAAGCATTCAAAAAATCGAAAGAAGTACGTATATACTTTATATACTATTAGCATGTCATTCTCTAGCCACCCTGAACGAGTATATTTTCTACATTTCTGTGATATTGTCTGTTGTGTATTTTGTGCATGTATGTGTCATACAATTAGGATTCACATGGCAGAGGATTATCGACGACAGATACACATGTAGGTAAACAGCATCATGACAAATATAACGGTCAAAATTGTGTGCATGTATTTGTATTAATTAACTGTTTTTGCATCCTGCGCTTACCAACAGACATTTATTTTGCTTAAACATTGATGATTGTCATCGTACATATATTAAAAGATGATGCTTCATTCTAATTGAGAAATTTTGATGATAATGAGAGTCGCGGAATTTGAATGTTGATTCTAATGCTCGATTTTATCATCTGTGCTTCTAACTATTGCTATTAAACTCAATTTAGTAATTGAAGTGTCTATTTCTTTTTCTTAGGGTTCACGACTAAGTCTGGCAAGTATAATAAGTGAAGCAAAGGCTCATTACGACCTTGAAATATCGGGTTCAATTGATCTAAAAATAAGTTATAATTCTAAAACCAGCGCTGTGGAAGTCTTCATTATTAAATGTACAGACTTAGCACGTGCAAAAAGAAATTCATCTGATCCGTAAGTCCTTAAACTAAGTAGCCCGTTAAAACATAGATTAAAATATATTTGATTTTGTTTTAGCTATGTTAAAATTTATCTACTACCTGATCGTTCAAAAGCATCAAAACGAAAAACAACCACCAAACAAAATACAACAGAACCAGTTTTTGAAGAACAATTTCGAGTAAAGATTTCAAAAAGACCTCTCTTTTGTGTATAGCGTAGAATACTGTTTTCTAATTGTTTAGTATAATATACGTAAACAAGACTTTGAGACAAGAGTACTTTGGATATCTGTATGGAGTGAAGAAAAACTTGGTAGCAATGATTTTTTGGGTGAAATTCATATACCATTAGTAGATTGTACAATGGATAAAATTGAAACACATACACTATTAGCAAGATCACACAACGATGATGTATGTATATTCAACAAAACTTAGAATAATGCCGCTCAATGGGCTACATTCATTTTTTAGTCAAATTTCGGTAACAAATCAACATTGAGTCCAGGTGATATTGAATTTCAACTATCCTTTATCGCAAATCCAAAAAATAAAGAAATTGGTACATTGCAGGTGACTCATATTAGTGCAAAAAATATTTATCATGGTAAACATACTGTTGACGCCTTTATTAAAGGGTAAAAAAAGCAAAGGTGTTATGTAAGTGAAGATCTTAATGTCTGTTACTCTATTTGATAGGTTGTTGTATCCAGAAAAAACCAAACGAAAAATACCAAATATAAGTAAAGGTCCAAATCCAAAATGGGAGGCATCGCTAAAATATGAAGGCGTTGCGTTTTCTGATTTAAATGAGCAAGCGTTAGAACTAAGTATATGGAATCAAGAAAGATTTCGAAAAAGTATGCTTGGTTATGTGAGATTAAATCTTGCAGCAGGTAATCTTTGATGTATGCTGATGTAATCAAGACGAATATTGTAAGATCTTAAGAGCTACCACATAGATACAACTTGGCTGTTCAATCGATGTTCTAGCTACAGTAACTTTTATAGTAATCAGCGGCAACATGCTTAGGAAAATTCCAAAAAATAGCCTCTAACTATTGATATACTTTCGTTTGACGAACGACAAAGGTATCTTTCTAAGAGTTTGAACAAATTTCCGTCTTTTTTAGAGTCCCCTGCTCTCGAACCATGCCTGAAAATACGGTTCGAAGTCCATATACGTTGAGTGTAGTACAAACTAATCATATGTAAACTCCTCTATTTGCAACACTGTCGGAAGAGAAATCTGCAAGATAGATCATTTTCGATATTCTGTCCATATTTGAGCTCCTCCATATCTCAACCCAGAGAGCTGAATAGATTTAGTTCATAGTTTATGGTAGAAATGCACTTATATAAAAGGTATAAATAATATCCGATGCAATAACATATCGTTCAGTTACGAAGAAGTTATGCGAAAGTCCTTGTTCTAACCAAATTTGGGTGACACATATATGCCCTTATATGACACTTATTCTCTCACATGTTCTCAAGCAAAAGATAGTGCTCAATTTTGACTACTCATGCTTTAAATAGAAGATTTTAACCTACTTTTTAGATCAGGATACACACAAAGTAAATCTCGCTTTTAATTATTATCTGTCCAAATAGCAGTACTCTCAGTTTTGATTCGGACTCGGCATGAGATTTCCAAAGAGGTCCATGACAAGCACTCGATGTAGTTGAGTAACCTTAAAAACCCAAGAGATATATTTGACCGACCACGCTGAATCTGATAGCAACCTTTATTGTCGAAGACAAAATCAAAAAACCTAATGAAAGCCGTGTTTTGTGAAACTAGGGTTTCTGGACTGTTTCCACCTATGGTTAAAAATTCCGAATTCACTTCAAAGAGCATCAGAATGAGTTGAAAACCTCAGAATATCCGGTATTTATGTTATTCTACATTCTACTCATAACAAATTTAACAAAAAACCTTAACAAAGAAAACTCTATGGCTTTAACTTAAAGGGTTTGTAGAAAACCGTTGAACAAAAAAATTATTTCTCAATTTATGTAGCCGCATAACCACATTTAGCGAACAAAATTAACTATATCGTGAAAGTTCAGCTCGATCTGATTCTGAATATTTTAACGTTGAATTGAAACAGCCTAGAAATCTCATCCCAAGTCTGAATCACTAAGAATCAAGATCTTGCTTGTCTTCCATTTTAAAGCGCACACTTTGGGCCATTTACTCATAAAAAAAACATATATTGCTACTTTAACTTTTCCAGAGTCTGCTTACGAGGGAACCGCCGGAGGTAATACGCTGCGTTTCTAATGAGTTATACCTCAATCGATAGAGTATATCGAGCTAGTAAAAACTCTAAAAGGATTCGGGTTCACGGCTTTTGACGACCCATTTTTTCTGGAAAATCAATTTTTCAGAAACTCTAAAGAATAGCCAAAATTTTTCTTAGTGAGGCATGATTGGAGCACGCATATTTCTGATTAAAATAAGACATCTCCCAGCTCCACACGCCTTTTCTTTGCAAAGTTATAGAATTTACAACAAAAGCCCTAAATTAATGTTTTTCCTTCTTATTTCTGTGACTTTGAGCTGACAATGAACATTTAGGGCTTTTGTTGTAAATTCTATAACTTTGCAAAGAAAGGTCGTGTAGAGCTGGGAGATGTCTTATT